AGGCTGGGGTGGTCAAGGTTGGAGGTGGGCCTGGAAAGCTGGCCCACGGTGGACAGCAGAAGGAAGGCTGGGGTCACCTGTCTCTGTGCTGATGGCCAGGCCCTTAAGGGACATGGCGTCTGAGCCCTCCATCCCTGACGGGGGCTTCCAGCAACTTCCCCTCCCCCAGGAGGAAAATACTGACACGTGGCAGCTCCAGAAGCGGATGGCACTTCTTCGCATGGTGACGCAGGGAGATGCGGGCACAGTGACCCCCAGAGGGGCATCTGCCTGGCCCCGTGTCCCCTCTCTGAGCGGGGACAGACTCCCAGGGCGACAGCAGGGTTGGGGGCAGGCTGGAGAAAGACCGTGACAGCCAACACGGCCCAGGACCTTCCCTGTTGTCTCAATGGGCCCTGGGCACCCTTGGTCCACTGGGGACAGCTAAGGGACCAGAGGCAGAGGGACTCCAGCCCCCTCCTCCTGCAGCTTGCCAGGACAGCACCCCACCCCGCCCTCCCTGGCCCTGTCCCCCAGCCTGCAGGTCCCTCCCGCAGGTGCCCCTCCCCCCAGCCCCAGGGCCTCGGGGTTGATAGCAACCCTTTTGTGAAAGAGACTGCTGAGCGTTATCTTCCCGGGTTGGTATGTGTTGGGGGGAGGGGGGGTTGTTTTTCCTCCAGGGTCAGAGTTCAGTGGGGGGAGTGCAGACGCTTCTGTCTGGAGCAGGGACGGGTGCAGCCCAGCCGCACCCCCAGGACAGAGGCTTGGTCCCGGCTCCTCAGAGAAGGTCTCTCTCCCCTGCTCAGAGGACACCCGCTCCCCAGGAAGGAGACTCCCATTTCCAGCCCCTCTCCTCGGCCCACCGGGCCCCACCCCAGCACAGCTGTCCCAGCTCTGACTGTGTCCCCCCAGGCAGGCCCCTGCCTCCAGGGGCTAAGCGAGAGGCCCAGCCAGTCCTACGGCTTGGGCCAGATGCCTGACCCCAGGGTCACTCCCTGACGTCCATCCCTACTCCACAAACCTTCCTTGTGGGCCCTGGGCCCCCTGGGACTGTCCCACCTACCACTGCTCTCCCAGGAGAGTCTTCCATCCCCACCCCCATCCTGGGCTCAGCTATGCTTCGGAAAAGGCAGAGGATGAGAGGAGTATGGGACAGGGTGGCCCTGAGTGGCAGTGAGTGGCCACTGCGGAGGAGGGGGGTGCAGGAGGGCGCCCTCTTCCGGAAGATGTGGCCACTCCCGGGCCACTCTCGGGCCTGCCGACCATTTGAGGAACAGCATCTTGGCAGGGAGGCTGCGCTGAGGGCTGAACCTCCTGGTTTACGCCCGCGGGCCATCCATCCCCAGGGGGCCTTCCTGCCAGCTGCACTGAGCCCGGGGCCACTGTGAACCCTGCGCCCTGACTGTGCAACACGCCCGGTCCTCTCTGCCTCTACGTGAGCCTGCCCTGTGACCGGGGGAACCCCACGCGCAGGGCCAGCCCCTCCTACACTAGCCTCCGGGAAGGAAAGCAGAGCCCCTCTCCCCAGCACCCCCTGCCCCCCAGAGAGAATGGCAAGGAGAGGAACCAGCCCCGTCAGCCATCCCTGGCCACTGCTACAGCCACTGGGGAGCCCCTTGGCCAGATGTTTCCAACGAAAACTGCACCGGCCTGCCCCTCCCCCCAGCATAGGGGCCCCCAGCCCTGTCACCTTCTGCAGGTGCTGGCCATGGTGAGGCCGGGGCCCTGGGCGGCCCGGTCCAGGCAGCAGCTGCGGGGCGAGGATCAGGGCAGCTCCCGGGCCAGATGGCCGCCTGGCCGGCTGCATCCAGGGAGGCTGTGCCCACACCACCGTGAGGCCTCCCGTCACCCCTGTGCCCGAGCCCCTGCTGGGCCAGATAGGGGACCTGAGGGCCGTGGGGTGGCCAGTTCCGGAGTGCCATTTGGGGGCTGTCTGGGATAGTCCCTCCTTGGTAGGAGGGCAGGACAAGAGGACTTAAGTCACACCTTGTGACTGGAGAGGCACAGAGAGTCTCCCTCCCCACCGTGTCCCTGCTCCGCTAGCCTGTCCCCCTGGCCCGGCCTCCTAGACCCGACTCCAGGCTCTTGCTGGCAGTGTCCTACCCTGCTTCGGCCCCTTTCCCTGCCCCGCAACCTCTGTCAGATTCCCAAGGAATGCTTTGTCCCCGCCACCAGGCGGGGCACTTCCCACCCCAGGGCCTCACTCCACCCAGAGCCTCCGCTCTCTGCCTCCAGGGACTCAGGGGCCAAGCCTGGGGTGGCAGCGCTGGGCAGGTAGGCACGACGGAGCACTCAGAATTAGGATGATGGCACTGGTGTACATCCTCACAGGAGCCACCACCATGCATTCCTTCAAGAGGCTCTTACTGAGCCCCCACTGGGTGGTGTCAGCATGGTCACCTCCCATGGGCAGGGCTGGAGAAGGCTGAGGCTGCCGAAGACCGCGTGTGGGCGGGGCTTAGCCGGCGGTCAGGAAGACCGCTTTCCGAGCGGCTGGAGCAGCAGGGCACAGGCCAGCGGAGGGCTCTCTGGGGAGGAGCCTGAGTGGCCAGGGGAAGGCCCCGGTCCCCATCTGCCAGGCCCTGGGGTCCTCATCTCACTTTGCAGACAGGGTTCCGGCTGGTGCCCAGGCTGGGAGCCACAGGGCAGGCTCTGAAGTGGGCCTACCCAGGGGTGGCCCCGCGTGACTCAGATTCAGCTCCCCTAAGCAGGGGGCTGGCGAGGGACTGGAGGAGGGCGCTGGGCCTCCTCAGGGAAGGTCCCCAGAGTGGATGGGCCACGGGTGTGAGTGCAGTGTGAGTTTGGGGTTCTGAGCTGCACTTGCTGGATTTAGGAAATGAAAATGCAGCATGTCCAGTCGGATTTGAATTTCAGGCAAACAGGAGCGCTCATTTGGTGTGAGGATGGGCCTTTCTTTCCCAGAGACTGGAGGCCCTAACTGTGAGGGCCCCAGGCCCCCTGGAGGCCCTTCAAGCCCGGCCCACAGCTTTGGAACAGGACTCTGCTGGCAGGCGGCTGCTTGCCCCCTCCGGGCCACAAGGAGAGTGGCGGGAGAGCCCCCAGCTCCTCTGCCCAGGATCCTTGGTGGCTGGGGTCCCGACCTTGTGATCCAGCCCCAACCCAGGGCCACCAGAACCCCTAGTCAAGCCTCTCCCCTGCTGGGGCTCCCCTCCCCTGCCTGCCCTGCATCTGGGGCTGTTGGTGGCCAGTGAGAACGAGGCTGTGGGACTGCCACCTGCAGTGTGCAGCGGGCACCTCACCCAACCTCCCCACCCCAGACCCAAGCGTGTGGCGATTCCAGCACCTGGCCGAGGGGGTTGCGGGGGTGCTGAGTGGAGTAGCGTCCCTGGCCGCCTGGATGCTGCTGCTCGGGGCAGCCCCCTGAGGTCGAGGCCTGGAAAAAGGCTCCACAGCCGACAACACGGCACAACCCGGGGGCAGCTTCTCCAGAATCCTGTTTCTTGTTCCTCTCCGGCTTGCTCCTCCCCACAGCAGGACTTGGTGTCCCCTCATACCTGCGTCCAGGGCACTCACTGGGCCCTCCATGTGCCTCCTCCTCCCCGAACACTGTCCCACCTGCTCTGGGCTCTGGAAGCACTTGGCCTCTCTCCATCATGGCTCTTGTTCCCCCACCCCACCATGTCTGCTGGGACGTGCCATGTCCCCAAGCCTCCCAGACACACAGCTCAGTGAGCAAACGCTGAGCTAGGGTCCTCTGAGACGGTGGGAGTCCCCTGTTCTGGGCTCCAAGGTCGAGACCCGGTTTGAGTGTCCAGAAGAGGGTCCTAGGTAAATTAAAAACGGGTGTCATCTCGTCCAAGTTCATGAACCCTTGCGTCCCCTCCTCCATCCCAGAGCTGGCGCCTCGTGGGGTGGCAGGGGTCCGCCTGGCGGCGCCCTCAGATAACTGCCCCAGCGCGGGCCAGAAGAACTGGTCCTCGGAAGGGGTCCTTTAGCAGCCGAGCGCAGTTGGGACCCCATGGGGGGGACACCGAGACGGAGGAGGCAAGTATCGCGAGAGAGCCCCCTCCCCTGCCGCGCCCCTCATCCCCTCCCACCCCAGCTCCCCAGCTGGCGGCGCGCGGGGCGGATCGGGCGGGGCGGACAGGGAAAAGGCGGCGAGGGTGACCTCAGCGGTTCCGTCGC